ATCCTGAACCTGTAGTTCGATTCGTACACGCTGATTTGGCTGTCGTGTGTCGTAAGAATAATACTGATAATCACGCACAGACTCATCTTTGAGAATTGGTGCATCCATGTCAATCGCGGGGTCAGATATACGCTTGAAAATCTCTATTATTGTCATCGTTGTCTAACACGAAGACCACTTCGGGAAGTGAGACCACTTCCTCATATCCCACTAGCGGTTATATTTTTTTTTCTTTTTCGATATTGGTACATCAGCCACCTCCTGATTTATTATTTTACTTACACTTGCGGGCATCACTTCAGTGCTGGCCAATTTCACAGGTTGAGGTTGAACGGCTTGCGGTCTGTGTATTAATCTAGCTAGTCTATCTTTGATTGCTGAACATGCTTTGCTAGCAATATTACCAACAGCGCCTATTCCTTTTTCACGAACAACATCAATAACTTTCATTCCTAGTTGCTTTGCAATCGGTATTACATTTGAGGCTATTCTTCTAAACAGACTCTGAACAACATCACCTAGTTCATTTCCGTAGATTGTTTTGTATAACGGTAATCGATAGTTTATTACCCTGACCATTTTAGGTCCACGTTGAATACCATGCACGATCATTTTATTATTAACTGATTTTATCACTAATTGTATCTATTCACTGTGATAGTCATCGGCGATTTCATTAATGAGTGACCGCTATACATTAATATCCATGATACCGCCTGTAAATAATCGTTTGCAAATATCAGCTGCTTCATTAATGATTTCTTATGAATTATTGCAAACTCGTTTTCCTCCAATGAGAATTTCTAGTCGATCAACATCAACAAGGACATTATTGGGACAAGTAATAAGTCCACTTCCTAGACCACTTCCTCTTGCTCCAGGATCTTGATATTCTTCCTCTGTTTTTTTGACTGGTTGTCATAGTGATTTCAATCATTTCATTGTTTCTTGTCTTTCTTATTCTCATTGTAGCTTTTTTTGTAGTAGTAGTTGTGATCGTTGTGGTAATGGTGTTTTTGGCAATTCTGGATAATCACTAAATGATTTCTTAAATGTTGCTGGTAGTTTTTGTTGTTGTTCTCATAGTTGTCGTACTTTTCGTATTCGTTGTTCTTATTCTCGTTCTTGTTCTTGTTCTCATTCTTGTTGTTCTTATTGTTTTCGTTGTTCTCATTGTTTACCTTGTTCAGCCTCTTCTATATATCTGTTAACAATCTCATCAAATCTGTTAAAATTTATAATATCTTCTTCAAATCTGATTTCTGGAATGCCAGTAGAGATACGACATACATCCCTGATCCAACTGGCAGAGCATAGAGATTTAACATATTCTGGTTTTACATATTTTTGTCTTTCATAATATCCAATAATTGTTTTGGGTTTCTGATATCAGCAATACCTTCTGGCGTAAATTTATCTATTATATTAATTTTTGGTCTTTTGTAAAAGTCGCTGGTTGTACTGGTATGGGTGCTTGTAGTGGTTGAGCTGCTTGAATACGAGCAATATCAGCAGGCAATATTGCAAGAGCTCATTGTGTTACTTCGGTTGCTGTAACGATTTTCTTCGTTGGTTCGACAATCGGCTTAAATAATTACTCTGTACCTTCTGATGAGATTGTAAATGTTGCTTAACAGAATAACTTATGGGTAGATATTTTTTAATTAACTTTAGTCACTCTCGAGCTAATCTAGCTGAATGAGGTTCCTCAATACTTATTATTGATAATATTTATAATAATTTATAGCAAAAGAGAGGTTGAATGACCAATGCATGTGACCAGACAAGTAAATCAAATCGCATAAAAATTTGAAAAACATGTCAACGGGATAACAAAAAAAAAACTGAGCTAACCCAATTAAAGAAATCTTGGTCGGTTAGATGCTTTGGTCTAATGTTTAACCTCAAGATTTCAGCCTCGTAGGAACCTTTATTTTTGGATATAAGGTGTAGTAAACTTGGTAGGTTTCAGCCTCTCTGCTGCTATTGTATTTGCCTATCGAACAGAAACAAAATTACGTCTAGTTGGAAAATTTCAGGCCAAGATTGAAACAAAACACGGGATCACTACAGCTCCATTCTGTGTAACCAAAGGAAATTTTGGAAACATACTGAGTTATGAAACAAGCATACATCTGCAAATAATTCCAAAAATCTGTGCTAGAGTGAAGAGCAGGTCTGAAGAACTATGTATAAAGATATTTTTAAAGGAATTGGAAAACTAAAATATGTACAGATACACCTTCACACTAATGATACGGTAATCTTTACTGTATAGCTCAACCCCATCGACATATTCTATTTTTATTTGGAAGAAAGTTGAAAAAGAGTTGGCAAAACTTGAAGAATTAGATATTATCGATTTGATTTCTTTCATAGAAATCTGGAATGACTGTGTATACATATTATAATTAAGTTATATACCTTGATTTCTTTCATAGAAATCTGGAATAACTGTGTATATATATTATAATTAAATTATATACCTTGAGTTCTTTCATAGAAATCTGAAACGACTGTGTATATATAACTAAATTATATACCTTGATTTCTTTCATAGAAATGACTGTGTGTATATATATATATATATATATATATATATATATATATATATATATATATATATAGTTTAATACAAGCAATACTATCTTCCAGGTTAGATAAATTAAATTTGTACTCTACCAGTTTCTAACCCAGGTCCCTGAGTAATTGGCACCCATGCTTTGCCTGCACACACCAGCCCATATACTGTCAGGACTAAGCACGCATCATCAAAAAAGTTATGGCACTGAGTCAGTGTTATATAAGCTTGTGCCTGGCAGACACACTCGCATGATGACCTAGTAAATAATTCTCACATATATATATATATATATATATATATATATATATATATATATATATATATATATATATATATATATATATATAAACAGTCGTTCCAGATTCCTATGAAAGAAATCAAGGTATATAGGATTTTTGTATTACAAAAAATTATAAATATATACCAGACAGAACAGACAGTGCTATCCCTGGATTCTGTAGTGGAATCTTGATAATAGTGGGCAGAAATAATAGTTTAATACAAACAATACTCTCATACAGGTTAGAGAAATTAAATTCATACTCTACTGAGTTTCGAACCCAGGTCAGTGAGTAATCGGCACCCATCGCCTTGCCGGCACGCACCAACCCCATATACCATCACGACTAAGCACGCATCACCAAAAAAGTGATGGCACTGAGTCAGTGTTATATAAGCTTGTGCGTAGCAGACACACTTGTATGAGAATAACATTCAAATAAAAAAAAAGGGCAATAAGAATCTTTCAAACACATTGATTTGTCAATATGTTTGTCATCCTGCAGGAATAATTGAATTTTCAAGAATACATCAAATTTTGTGTTGTCACTAGTAAATGAAAAAGTGCTGTTATAGAAATTATATGATAACCATACTATCTGCAGTGGTTATTCATTATATTTCAGTTCCTCAGTAGTATCATTATAGAATTTTCAGAGCACAATAACCAATCAGGGTTCCCAACCTCTAAACCCTTTCTATAATTTCCCATGACATTTTCCCCCGTAGGAGAGTTTTTGCAATCATTTGCATCCATGATTGTAAACTACATGGACCTTCAAAACAAGGCTAACAGACCAGAATAACCAATCAGTGTTCCCAACTGTTAAAGCCCCTTTCACTGCCAACCAAGCAAAGCTTCTCATGAGAAGCGAAGATTCCACATGAATCTGTGACTGTAGTCTGTGTAACCCATCTGTCGCAAAGATCTGAGACTATGCTGACCGACCAGTTTTCAGCCTGCTTCCTGCCAACAAATCTTGTGCTCAGGCTTGGCTGGCCTAACAAGAATCCTAGTATTATGCATACACCATTTATTCCTAGATTTCATTTACCAAGTCTTCCACCTTCCATTTGTCTCCTTTTCCAAATTATTGTACCATTCAATGCTTTAAAAGGTTTACAGGGCTACTGTTAAAAGCTGCCGCCATTATTTAATGGCAATAGCATCCAAATCAACATGCATTTGTTGAACCTAACATCATTTTTTCCACACTACTACTGGCCATACCAGTTCCAACAGAAAATCCAATAGGTGTGCCATTCTCACTACACCATGACCAACAATTATAGGAGCAGTAAGTCCACAAACTGCATCTATGACAATACTCACACATTTATCTTTCATGATTACATGTGCAATGTTTGTTTTGATGATGTCATCTAGCAGCTTTTGTTCTGCTTCAGTTATTTTAATGTTGCTAGCTTGATGATTTTGAAGATCCATTACAATTCATCTGTTAATATTGTCTCCATATAGGAAATTCCATGGACAGACCCTGTCCAGACTAATCACTTCCAGGTGCAACATGTACATGTACCTATAGCTACTGACATTTTTTTCAGTGAAAAAAAATCATTGTGGGAAACATTCATGTCTCTGGTGACTATGTGTTCTGGAGGAATTTCAACTAGAACCCCATTAGTTATGCCCATGCTTTGTGCCACAAATGATTGCTCTGTTTTTGGAGGAAAACTGTTTCACAGGCAAGCATGTCCTTATCAAATATCAGTCAAGATTTTTCTTTGCTGGCAGAGTCAATGCTGATTTGACATACCTTTGGAAAATGTAACCTTCATGGATTTGTCAGTGAATATTACTTCATCTTTGTTGAAACAAATTTTTATGTCAGAGAGTAGCAATGTTTTCTAAATTCGAGGAGTGCATTTCCACATGCTAATACGAGTGTATAAAAAGAAACATAGCTTTAGCAATTTTTCAGCCATATTATTATGATGCCTGCATTGAGTTTATATTGATGTCTAGCACTGAGGTATCATGGTGCAGACATGTGGCATGATGTCCCACCCAGTCACAATATCCTGACACCAGGCCAACAAGTCCTAACACTAACCTCTTACTGCTGAGCACCAACCAAGGCAGCTGTTAGTACCATTTTTTTAAAAGTCTTTGGTTTGACTCTGCTGGGGTTCAAACTCATGACCTCCTGCATCCAAGACAGACACTCTAACCACTAAGCCACCAGAGTGGTTAGCATGCTATGATGATTTCAGGCTGGCATCATCATTGGTATATCTGGCTGATTCCACCTGTCAAATTCTATTTGACTCTTGGAGATTATATGAGAAACCATTAACTCTATTCACAGACAAATAATCATCAACAAAAGGACCAAACTTGTCACTGACGTTATTGTCAAACTTGTCATTGATATTGGTAGTCATTCTCTCCAGCTCATACACCGCACCATCACTAAACTGCAGAGACCACCACGTTTGCTATACTGTTATGCATTTGTATTGTTTGTTGGCTTTTCTCCATGGTTATATGTTATGTATATCAATAATGTGTTATGACTCGATGGGAATAAACTAAGTAACAGAAAGAAGCAAAACCCACAAATTTTGTAAAACTTAACAATTTCATTATCAGAGTTAAAAATTTAAAATGTAAGAGGAACTTAAAGTATTATGACATGAATCCCAAAATAAATCTGTTAATGTTCAATGAAAGTCAAAATTAATGAAACATTGCATATAAATGTCAAACTGAAAATGTATTTGATGCGCTAAGAATAGTGATATTGGCAAAATGTTATTGTCCAGAACTCCTTTAAAAAAATCACAATATTTCCCGAATAACATTATAGTCCAAATAATGAGCACTGAAGAGTCCAAACAAATGTTTCTCCTCTCAGATAATACCTAAGTTAAACATAAATCATGTCTGCAGACTTATAACAGGAATACAAAATTAAGGATGACTCCAGAATGAAATGAATTTGATTGCTCAGTTCTTTCCTTATAGATTAATATTTTCCTCAATTTGACAAAAAATGCATCAAATTTGAAATAGTGAAGAGAGCATTGGACTTTATTATTAAAAAGTACTCTTGTTGGCAAAGCTTGTGAACTCTACACTTCACTGTAGGTAAAACAAAGTTCTAATAAGGAATGTATCTTGAAAGGTAATCAACTGGTATCTGATGTATATCGACAAAGGTTTATAAACTGTAAAAAATGTAGAAACTGAATAGACCTATGTCAATTTTGCATTTAATAAAAATTATTTGATAGTTGGTGCTCAAGCCATGAAGGTTGGTCAAAAATATGAAAACCTCAGACATTGGTTGCAGGATTCCAGAATTGTGCCAATAGCTACAAGACCTGCCTTTATGAGCAAAAGGTTAAAACTTTATAAAATGTTGTTCATATAGTAGATAATTATTTCTTGACTCACTAAAGTTCTTCTTTTCAGCAGGATTTTGGGGAAAAACTCCCATATCAGTCTCAGAAGAACACCTCTAAAATCTCAATCTGGCACAACTTTTAGGAATCAAATTTCTAATAAGACTAAATAAAAAATCCTTATTTCCTTCTCTTTGCAAGGGTATCTTGTTTCTGATTGCTACAAATTGAAAATTAAGCAATAGAATAAAGACAAAATGATTTGAGGAAAATCATTTTATTGGTAATTCAGTAATAAATTCTGTATGTCCTTTTTACTTTATCAAGATTGGAAACAGCAATCATTATGATTCTAGATATTATTTCAACTTCATTGTTCATTGGTTTGTTTTTTCTTGATGGTGATGTTGTCTATTTCTTTGTTGGCATAACTGGCTTTTTAATTGTTTTTCTACATTTGTGTTGGCATGTCTAAGTTGTTGCTTTTGATAATGCTCAGCTATAAATCTGCATGGTTGCAAAACCGATTATACTGTTTCACTCTCATTTACTGCCATAAAACGAAAAGTGATTGCTCCATCTACTCTGAACTTCTTGTTTCTATGGACACTGTGTGTGAGTGTTTGAGAGAGATTTGGATTTTTAACTAACTTTGTAGTGTGGCAGTTGATAGTGATGTCATGCAGCAGACATGTAGCATCATGTCCTACTCAGTCACATTATCCTGACAGCAGGCTGATCTGTCCTAACACTAACTACTTAATGCTGAGCATCATGTGAGGCAGTTGTAAGTACTTTTTTATGTCTTTAGTATGACATGGCTGAGGATCAAACCCATGACCTCTTGTATCTGTGGTAGATGCAGTAACTACTAGGCCATGGGAGCAGTCTTACATAAACATAGTGAGATGCAAATGTGAACAGTGAGTCATTCTAAAGTGATTATATTTCTGAAATTAATGACTTTTGTAAAATAAATTTATTTTCATGGGTATCAACTTATTTGACATTTTGTCTTGACTGTAATTCATAGTTTCATAAAAGTTAAGAATTCAATGTTCATTGAGGTCTTAAATTGATGGTTTGCAGTAACCACAAAATCTACATGAATTTGATCATCAGGTACAAGTTAAAAGTATTTTACTAGTATTTTTTAATTCCACAGTTATCTCCCTTAAAGATTTTAAACGAGTCTCATGATGTAAAAGAATAAATAATTTGAATAGTATGTACCAAAATGTGAAATCTGTTCATGAATTTTGTTATGTACATCATTAGAACTTTATAAGTATCCACTGACTTACACAAAAATGTCATGTTATCTGATTATCATTTTGTATTAATTTAGGGTTAGTTAAAACTCAAAACAATGAAATTAGAATTTGTAAATGACTGAAAAAATTTATAATATAAACTTAATTGAATTAAATATTTTCAATGAAAATGAAAGGCAGTGAAACCAAAACTTACAGGTCAATGGATTTAAGAGTTATATAATCAATATTGGGAAAGCAACAATCATGAAAGTCAGCTGTATTTTAAAAACATTTTTATTTTAACGGTATGACTCTAACCATAAGATTTACTAATTGGAATATATCACCCCTTAATAGCAGTGCTCAAGGGAACTGTAAAACTGAACTAATTGAGGGTACCATGTAATTAGGAATGTTCCAAAAAGTCATGACATTGGATTACAACAACACAAAATGTTTCATATTTAATGTTGACTAATACCTTATTTGCCATATATGTTGGGACATTGTATTTGTTGGGATACCATCAATATTTATTTTTGTAATATTTTGGTGCACTGTTTATTCTGGACACATCATTTTTTTAATCATAAGTTGTGGGACACCCTATAAATCATTCAAAAATTATGTCCAACTGAAATTTTCTTTTATGAGATAAAACTCTTAAATCCACTGCAGCATGATCTCAATACAACCCTTCTTGTGCACACGTGTGATCTGTTCTCTCAATGTATGAATATTGTTCATGCCATTAAAAATTATCGTTGGAAGCAATACATCTGAAATGAAAACTACAATGACTAAAGTCATATTTGCAATCTGCACCATTCATGCGAATTCTCACACATTTAACCCACACATCATCAGACCACCAAGCAATGAGATCAAAATACAATATAATTTCATATATGATAATGATGATATTGTCAGCAAATCATCTCCTCTTCTGGCCTTTATAAATTCATCAAATCTTCTGGGCAACAATGGGTCACTGAAGTCCATTTGCCTACACTACATATATGGAGCTAGTGAATATATTTTATTCTTTAATGCTTATGATAAAAAAAGGATTAAATGATAACAATACAAGGATAGTTTCTTCTATTTCATTATCAAATAAGCATTTTCTTTATCTATTTTCTTGCATCATGAAGGTGGCGGGCAGCCGAATTCAATACAACTTTATTTAGATTCTTAAGTATTGGGATATATGACCAAGGTGAAAAGTTTCACCATAAGTTCTGGGACAGGAAAAAAAAATTATTTGATCATGTCCCAATATATACTGTAAATACAGTAGTATCATAAATGGTTCTCATGCGCTAAAAATAAACAGTGAAACTGATCAAGTAGCAATGACAAAATAAAATTTAACCATTCCAATATGATTAAGTGCAAAACCAACATTACATGATGTGCAGTGGAATGCTGATGGTCTTTATGGTGAGGTTTTACTATACATGTATTTCCATAAAAATTTACAAAAATACTTAATGTTATTTATTTATTTATTTATTTATTTATTTATTTATTTATTTATTTATTATATGCAGTGCATGCTCAGCCATTTAACCGCACCATCATCAGCAAGGTGTAGAGCCTGCAATCCACGGGAAATTTTGTCAGGGCAGTTGTTCAATGTGTGACATAGTCTGCAGAGCTCCAAAGCTCTGCAAGGCTGACTGTACAATGTCCCTCTCCTGTCCAGAAATGGTTCAGCATGGTCCATTATGGAAGGTTGAAGCCAGAAGGGCAGACAGATGGCTCAGCCATGAAGGAGTAGTTTACAACATTTGTTGATTACTCATCACCCTATATTGAAATAGCTGTCTTATCCTCTGACATTGGACATAACCAGATTGGATGTCCAGAAGCCAAGCAGACTGCTGGTTGTGAAGTGATGTCCATGTAGTGTTGGTTTCTCACTGGCATAGACCTTAAACAGCAATTTTGTTGTTGCTTCTGGGTGACAAATATGTGGAGAGGAATGTTGCTGAGTACTGGCAGCCATGGTAAAGGAGTAGGATAATGTTGCTGAGTACTGGCAACCATGGTAAAGGAGTAGGATATAGTGTTCCAGAGATTATGCACATTGTTGTGTTAATCTGGACATAAGTTAATTTGGTACAGAAAAATCGATCCCAGACAGGAGTGCAATACTTGGCTGTTCAATAATAGAGGGCCAGTCCTGATGTCTTGAATGTCTGTCAGCATTATCTCCCCTAGTTGACCCTGCCAATTTGCAGAGTAGGTTTATTTGAGTGCTAAGCACTTAATGATAAGTTAGGGAAATCATCTGCGTGTATATAATTTAATATGAATTTTAATTTCCCAAAAGACAACTGAAAATTTTTAATGTCTTTTTTATTTTATACAAACTTTAATATATACAAAATTCCATTAAAAGTTTGATAAACAAATTTTATAAGTATTCTACAAAATAAAATTTTAATAAGTAAGCATGGATGAAATTTGACTATAGCAAAATAAACAACTGGACATCAACAAGAAGATGTACAAGAGGGTCCGATATTGCTCACCTGTCATACACTAGTCTAAGGGGCCAATGCAGTAGCAATATGGTAT